CATTGCTCGTCATTCTTTTACCTTCAGACTGAAAATAAAAGTGAAAGGGCTTCAAAGAATAATGAGAAGATAAGATCAGGCCTGTTTTGGCATACAGCAAACTCAGTTGTATTTTTCATAGATCACTCCAGATTGCCTGGTTGAGTGGTAGTCTTTGCTTTATCCCAATGATCATGTGTTTATGTGTCAGAACAAATGCATGTAAAGAAGTCGAATGCAGTTAAAATAGTTAACTCCTACAAAGAACTACTACATTTCTCTGAAGTTGTTAGCCCCTTTGTGGGTTGTTTAGCCTGTGCCCTACTTCCTTTTCTGCTTTCAAACAAGCTGGAAAGTACATCTGGAGATTTAAATGTACACTGTTTGCTGTTTGTTGATATTTGGTTATATTTCCTCAAACGCCATCATATGATAATTTAGTTGATTCTTGTGTGTATATTGCAATATTGAGACTTAACTTGTCATGTGAGTTAGTCATGAAGTGATGTGGCAAATTTGAACAAATATCATTCTTATGCCACTACTATGCATCAGCAACTTGTGCTTATTGGTAATGACCAGAGCCAGAGCAGGAAGTAGTGTAGTGTTTATCTAACCCTAACCATGACGGGGAAGAACACTGGCCGTGTGTTCTGACACCCACAGCACACACTGAATGATGTTAAGGAACTGTAGTCAGGATGTGCCAATCCAGGTAGAAAATGTGATAAAATTGCACCGTTTCTGGAGCACTGCTGTACCTCGATACTGGGAAACAGGACATTGGCGTATCCTGACCCAGCAACTGCCAGTGAATACAATACATGTATTAACATGTAGGTTTTAACGCACATCATACACAGCTGGTGTATACACACACTGGCCATTTTATTAGCTCAGATCATCTCAAACTGTTTTGTTTTGAGCATAACAATGGGTTCATTGTACTCCAGTGGCCTCCACAGTCACCACATCTCAATCCAATAGAGCACCTTTGGGATGTGGTGGAACGGGAGATTCGCAGTTGACAAATCTGCAGCAACTGCATGATGCTATCATGTGAATATGGACCAAAGTCTCTGAGGAATGTTTCCAACACCTTGTGTGTACCTGATAAAGTGGCCAGGAAGTGTAGCTCTTAACTCTTAGCAAAGTGGTGGCCTAACTTTGAAAATATGGTACCTTAATCATATATTAGTTGCCAAACATGACTATTGTAGACTGTCCATTTGAAAAACATCAGCATTAAACATTTGGCATGTTTATTCAATACAGTATGAACATTAGTTCTGATATGTTAATAAATATCAAATTTTTAACTACTTATGTTTTTTTTTTTTTTTTTCAAGTTCACTTTAGTTTTAATTAGTTTTTATAGCAGATTTGCTTATTCAGTTTATTTTTTCTAGTTTTTGAAAATGCTTAGTTTTTATTAGTTTCAGTGGTATTTTTAGTCTTTTTGGAAAACGGGGTGTTTTGTGTAATAAAAACTCAACAAAACAAAGATAAATGCAACCTGGACAGCATTACAGCCATTTATTTTGCTACTGCAATATCTTGTAACTCATTAGGTTGCATCTTGGCATTACATCTTTAGCACATCTTTTCCAAATTTGCAAGAATTAGGGCCGCATTCTCAAAAGCAATAAAAGGCATCAAAGTTTCTGAAACTCTAGCAATCTGGACCACGGTTAAGATTAAAGATGTAATGGCATTCTCCACAATTGTAGTAATGCGGGCAGTAATTCCTGGTTCATTTCCATGTGTTTTTGTGTGTTTCTCGAGTGCAGATTTTGCAGCACGCGAATGAAGAAGCATGCGACTTACCCTGAAATCATGCCGTAGCATTTTGTAATTACAAAGTAAGCCATATTATCCCGAACAGCCTCTTTGAGCTGTGGGTATGACTAAGCCTGTTCTGGGTCTGTGATGCAATGTCAGTGCTGTGAAGCTGTTTATTGTGAAGGTACAATTGTGGCCCGGAAGTGTGCTCGGCAGTAGCTTAGTCACAGTAATGCATAGCTACCGCTCAGGCTCATAATTCAGAGTTGTGTGCAAAGCTGTAAATGAATGAGGCTGTCTCACAAAGACAGGCAACATGAGCTTAAATATCACACATTAAAGCACATGTGCGAGAAAGGTGTGGAGTATGTCTACAGTATTATTGTTTGAATAATCAATTTTCAGGTGGATGATAAATAAGGGGCAAATTTTTCCAGAAATGACAAGAATGAGAGGGAGATACTTTGGAGAAGATAAATGTGAAGGACAAGGAATCAGAGGAAACGGAAACCACAGTGATGAATACAGAGAGCAGGCTGAAGAGACAGAGAGGTGGAGGAGAAAAGATACACAGAGGAAGAGTTCAGTCCAGTAAACAAAGCCATGTTTAACATTTTATAAGTATCCTGCCCCTTAAAGAGGAGACTGCTACTGTAACAGCTGAGTAATGGCTTGATATATTTCCCTCGATCTTATCTGACATTGTAAGCTTTTGTGAGACCAGACAGAGGAATCACAGCCATCGAACATCCTGCTTTAATCATTCTGAGAAATGTCTCACTTAATGGTAGTTCAGGGGGTTGTTTGTCATGTGCGTCGCTGCTGATTTCTAACAGTGCTTCTGAGCAGTTCACCTGCGTGTGTTTATGTGTCGATTTGAAACAGAAGTGGGTGGAGGCGGGGGTGGACTGTGCAATTAAACTTTTCCTTAACAGGAAAAAAAACATTTATTGGGACATTAGCTTGACAAAAACAAAAGTATTAGTATTTCTCAAACTTCCAAATAAGAATGAACTTGGGGATCCTACAAGGTACAAAAATGAAAAAATCAGTAGTGGAGGTTAGAGAGATTGACTCTCTCTGTGTCTTTTCCCAGCTATTCACAACTTATAGAGTCATGTTTTAAAATCTCTCAATAAAGCCTCCCTATCCACTTTAATGTGTTCTGATTCCTCATCATGTGACTCATTGAACATTCAGAAAGATGTTTTCCAAGAAAGGCCTTTGTGTAGAGTAAGAATAGGCAAGTGAGAACAACTGTGTGTGCAATGGGAGTTTTGCTATACATACTTGCAAAATCTGTCAGGAAGGGGATGAGCTGTTGCCGAACAAACACATAAGCTATCAAAATGGCCAAGACAGAAAAGAAGGGAAATGAGCTTCCACAAAGTCAGTGGCAGCACTCAGCTTTTCCTGTAAACCAGGATAAAAACAATTATAGTGTTATTGACAAAATCACATTTGCCATATGTGCTTCGTGTCTACTGCATTCTGTGACAGACAACACACCAGATGCATGCTTGGTAAAAAACTACATTTTCAGAATGTATTTTAATCATGTGTACTAATCATGTGTGTCACTCATTTAGTTATAAAGCTTTTCTTGATTGTTCAAAATTGACTATAAAGGAATAGTTGACATTTTGGGAAATACGTTCAATCACTTTGAGGTGGAGAGTTAGATGACAATATCGTGATCTCTCTCATGTTTGTCCGTTCCACATATGACTTGAAACAGTTAGCCTGGAATTAAACAAATAAGGTATAACTTGTCAATTAGGGAGTACATATCATTTTATTATTTTTGATAGGCTTTAGGAAAATTAGACCAGCTCTGTGAAAATCATTTCACAGAGCTTTGTTAGGGTTTCCCTTGCCATGAATGAAAACCAACTCACTTCCTTTACAGCATTGAGACTTCATATTTCCCACCCGCAAACAATACTCACATAAATATTGTGGGAAAATCAAGAAAATCAAATTAAAAGAATAGATCTATTATTTCAACTGAAAAGAAAAGCCAGGTAGGCGAAATCTCAAGCTCTTGGCAACATATTCACAGGCAAAATGTAAAGATATTTTATACATAGCTTTCATTAACTCAAGGCAAGCAAGCATCATTCAAAGCACCATCAGACTGATTAAAGATTATAGTATTGGACTATATATTACATATAACAGTTTTCACAGTAATGTAATATAATACCACAAGAGGATTCAAGTTAGTTAGCTTTTAAGACGAAACATCTATGAGCCTGGCTCATCATGATGCTCTGCCGTCGGTCTACTGCCTTCTTACCATTCATGTAAAGATTTTTTATTTCTTTTAGAACACATTTCACTCTTGTACTGCACTGTATGTTGTCTGCAACTTTTCTACTTTATGTTATTGAACTACATTAAAGAGTAGATTTTTGTTTTTTGTTTTTTAGATTATGCAGTAAACAAAGGCGAAGAAAATCAAAATGATAAGAAATATGTGGACTCGCATGTACTGTGCCAGCAGAGGGGGAAACGGCCAACAGATGTGATGTGAAAATATCATTTATCAGCTTTTGGTTTGACACTGGCTGCAGATTAATAGAAAGGATGAATTGTCACTGAGAGGCCTGTGTTTAGGTGAAAGGATCTCCAGGAGATGTTTGATGTCTGTTCATCTGACAGTGTATCCTGTCTCACCTTGTGTCCATGCAGAGTTCTCAAAATTGGATCACAGTTGAGTTTTATCTTTGAATGTGGATCACTATTACATTAGATTGGAGGACTACACCCTCACTGACTCTCTGTGTCTTTCTTACTGTTCCTCTGCACATTAGCATTTTGACTTTGCTCCTTCTTAGAAAAAAATATGGCAGCCCCACAGAATATCTCTGTCCTTTACTGTTCAAAAAAAGCTTTTTTTTAGTGAGGCATTTTATGATAGTTTTGCATTTCTAACTTTATGACATTTTTTATATTGCTTAGTCAACCTTCTGGAAAAAGAAGTTGTTATCTTCTTGTGACTGTACCCCCTTTGAACTGCACTTTCATAGGAAGCCTTTTGAGTCTGTTGCATCCAAGTATACTTGCTCCACCTCACTCTCTCACTCATGAAAGAGGCATTTGAAATGTAAAGTGTAAAGTGCTTTTCATATTCATTTTCTTGTTCCTATTCAGTGGATCTGAGTAGAAAATCTAACCTGTTTCTTTTCCTTCTTGTCCATTCATTTCATCATCTGCTTTTGGTGCTCTTTCCTCAGCTAATTCACACCATCAGTGCGGTGGATAGAGACGAGCCACAGTCTGAACATCACTTCTTCTTCACCTTGGACCCTGAAGCCTCCAGCAATCGACACTTCATCCTGCGGGATGCCAAAGGTGAGACGGCAAAGGTCTTATATTGGGGTTATTGCATAAAAATTACAGCATAATTAGATTTTTGGGGTATAATTGGGGTATAATAACAAGCAGGAGTCTCTAAGGCCAGTTGTTATATTTTGTGTGTGTGGGTGTGAACATTTTGTGTGCAACAGTGCAGCAAAACTATTTTTGACTGACAAATGTTCAAAGTTATGATGAAGCTCACAAAGATGGAAGAATTTAAGATGATGTCACTATTTACCAGAGTAATAGGCAATGTGTGTGTGTTTGGTGAAATGATTGAATATTGAGTTTAAAAGACTGCAGCTCCAAAAACTTTGTCAAAATTCTAACCAATAGTTCCTGTGTCTTAGTTACCTAATTTAGGTGCCAGATGGTTGACATTTTTAAATAAGACAATTCATGGAGTACACTACCAGACGATTTTGATAATGGCAGGAGGCTTTTTCTATGTGAATGCAAAGTAGCAAATTTCTTTTTACTTGGCATGCGACTGATAATCAGGCAGGCAGATTTTTTTTATTATTATTTTTGGATAAACAACACCTGTTCTGGTCCTCAAAGCAGAGTAAAATTATTAGAAAGTGTTTCCTGCCACTCCATATCAGATATACTCTGTACTTGCAAAATAAAGTTTTACAGTCAATTTGACTATATTAACTGCAATGATAAGATGATATTTTTTCCCTACTGCAGTAACATTTTATATGAATGTCATTTTTCATATATTTCTGTTTTGAACACTTTGTTTAACATAAGATTTTCTTGATTCCTCTTAAATAGAATGTCAACAGCTTACATCATTTTCTCAAGTGTCATCGGGAAAATGGCATTCTGCAAAAACACAACATTTATACGCATCTGCACAATGTAAAAAAACATTAATATCACTGTTCCCGCCAGTGATGACTTTCATTTGTCGGGAATACATGTTTTTCATGCTTATCTGTGCTTTTGCAAACATGCTTGCAGAGCCCTCGTTTAGAGATGTGTACTTCAGTGAATGTGACATCTGGCTAAACCAAGATTGATCTGACACCAGGAAAATGTCAGGGGAGCAGCCCGAGCCAGGGAAATGTCACCGTGTGTAGGCAGCGAGGTCTGCTGCAGTCCCGCTCACATGAATGGATTCACACACAACACAAGCCTCGCGTAATGTACACACACATACTGTACACACACGTGCATAAACAGGAAGGAAGAAGTATGACAGAAGTGTCCATCTAGCTCTTTCTTTCTCTCCTCTACACATAAATGCGCGCATGCATGCACACACACACACACACACACACACACACACACAGTGTGAAGTCTACTTTTGTGTGAAATGCAGGTTTTTAGGTAGACCAATAATAATCAAAGTATATTCATGCTTAGATGTAAATGCTATACCTCCTGCCCCATTTCCCCAACACATACAAACATACACTCCCACAAATACACACATCTGTTTAAAAATATTTGTATTCACAAACACAAAAACCCCTATAGACCCTGTGTATAGACAAACAAAACCCCACACAGACTTTTTATCCTCCCACCCTCCTTCTTCCACTCTGGTGTCTCTTCATGGACACATTTGTCAACCTGTCACTTTCAATCTGTCACTTTTTCCCCCATCACGGCCTCACATTGCGTTCTGTTTCCATGCTTGACACACAATGATGAAAAAGGTATTTTTTCCCCCCATGTTGCTAAATTCTTTTAAGTCAGTGCTGGCAGTCTGTAGAGCAAAACATCATCTTTACCAAATAAACTTTGTTGTCATATGAAATAATTGACATAAATCTTCAAACTCATGTTGTCCCCTAGTCGAGCTTTAAAAGAAATCTCATGATATGAAGCTGAAAAAACTCAGCAGGTTTTGTATCACTTATTATATTTTTTTGTGGTTTGGTTAGTGACCGACATTTCAAACACCTTACTGCAGACGCACCACTGCGGGATACATTGACAAAGCATGAATGGCAAAGCTAAAGTGATATAACATAAGAGGAGTCATATTTTGCAGTACAACAGCCACACAAAGTCGCTATAGCAATCCTATTCTTTATATACTTTATATTAGACTGGGACAAAAATTCGGCCTGGGCATTTTTGGCTGAAGTAAGTGACTGCTGCTGTGTGCATCTCGTTTCCTTCCAGCAGTCAACCTTACTGTAACCTTGAAACCAGTTGTTTGTACATTTTTTTCTGATTGTTTAGGCGCAATTTTTGAAACTTAGTTCAGCAAAACAATTCTTGCAAAACCCTTCAACCTCTTTTAAAAATGTGTTTTTGCATCATGACAGTACACACAAACGTCTTTGAGTAAGCACTCGAAGTAGCAGCTAATGAAAAATGAAAACTTGTGGCCTTTGTGTTTTCTGTGTGTAGGGCATATCAGTTTGCACTAAAGTTTTGTCATGCATGTAAACTCACATACATACAACTGCCCAATTGTAAATGTAAAGTATGGATGTGTGTTCCTCACTTGTTTTATATGAATAGAATTTATTTTGAAAGGGACTCTGTACAGCTACATTATTCAATGCAGAGAGACTCACTCTGTTGATGTTTTGGAACACTGTGTTATCAGCCACTATGTTGTTCTGTAGTTCTTTAAGTGTGATGCAGTTATTTGCAATGACCATATTGGCAATGTTGATCTCTGGCTCTAGGCTGGGTTTTTTTTGCAATTCTGTAACATTTGATTGGTTTTACAGTGGTGACAGATTCTTATCATTACAGTGCATATTACTGAACCAGTACCAGTGCTGTATACAGCACTTACAGTTACTTGCCACTTCTCATTTCAAAATAACCAGATGATACCTGCAATGGTATAGCGTCTCAGATTTGGTAGAATTTGTTGCCAGCCTCCCTGAAGCTCATCCCATGGTTGACAATATGGTCAACCACAGTTGCCCTGACTTCATCAGTTATGTCCCTAACTTCCCTCCCTCTTCCCCTTCCTGGTCCTCTCCTTCTGCCACATCCTACTTTATCCTGCCCTCTCCTCCTCTCACTTCTTCAACTCCTCATCATTTTCTTCTTTCTTCTCCTTGTCCATTTCCTTCTCTTCCTCCTCTAATTCTGTCCCCTCTAAAGCCTCCATTGCAAGCCAAACTTTTTTACCTGCGGCCTATTCACGTGTTAGTGCTCAAGCACTAAAAAAGTGTTTTCACTTGTGTCAATGTGAAATGCCAGTTGGCGGAATAGTGTAGCAAAATATAATAATATTTACGGTGTGTTATTGAATTGCAAACTGAGTGTAAAGCAGCGAGTTGTGTTTAAAGTTGTCTAAAGCAGAGAACGTGCATTCAGTTTGGCACACTGGCTACAAGTGTTAATGGTTTCAGAAATAGCGCATCAAGAATGACTGTTAATTATTAAAGTATTTCAGCATTCAGAAAAAAGTCATGCCAGCAGTGTGGCTCTGGAGATGGCAGTGTCATTCTGTTGGTCAGTCCACGTCTTTGGTTAAGACTGAAATACCTTAAAAGGTATTGGATGGATTGCCATGAAAATGTGTACAGATATCAATGGTCCCCAGAAAATTAATACAAATGATTTTGGTGATCCCCTGACTTTCCACCTGTGTTTAGTGCTAATTAGCAAATGTGTGCATGCTAAACTAAAATGGTGAGCATGGAAAACATTATACCTGCTGAACGTCAGCATGTTGATAGTGTGAGAATGCTGACATTAGCATTTAGAGCAAAGCACCGCTGTGCCAAGGCACAGCCTCACAGAGCTGCTGGCTTGGCTGTCATCAGATATAGTCCCGAATGTCAATCTGGATGGAGAAGAGAAAAAAAATTATATATATATATATATATATTTTTTTTTTCTCAGTTCAGAGTTGTCACTTCACCTATTTGTTCCAACAAGGGCAAACAACAATTACTTAATTTACTACTTTAAGAAAAAGGTGTCTGATCAAACTTTATGTATGGCCAACCTTTCAAATTTATTGTTTTGATATAAAATTACAGATGCCTGTATACACATGTAGTCTATATGTATGCATATGTCTTAGAGAGAATATTTTTTTTCTAGGAAGAGAATGCTGCGTAAAAGTCAAAAGGACAAACTCAGGGGCGTAACATCCCCTACATAAACGCTAACATGAAGATTGTTCTACTCGTGCCAGAGAAGCTCTGAGGTGACATGGATAACGGTGATATATGTTCTGAGAGATGGATTGCTTATCCTCTGTGCAAGTCTACCCACAAAGCTTCTCTGACTCTATTTGTCAAAGCCTCATCCTGTATTCTGCATTACATTTATCTGTGTCTCCAGGAGAGGGCTCAAATATACAGCGGTGAAGTTTAATTTCAAATAGTGGCTCTCTCACGCATTTTCTTCTCCTGTTTTTGTAAACACATGATAAATGTTAATAGCTCAGAAGCAGTTCACTTCCCCCGGTGAAATCATTCAACCCCAAGTTAAACTTGACAATCCTGACACTCTTTGCCTGGAGTCCTTGAACTATGCATTGTAACAAAAGATTTATTCAGACTATGTATAACAAGGTTGGTACTTTTGTCCTTTTCTTTACCACTTTAGCACTTGCAACTATTTTCTTGCAAAGTTATTTTCATTGTTATTTTTTTATCAAATGGCAAACATCTTACATTGTCATGTCAAATCACTACATTTTCCATCAGTACAGTCTTGAGTTCAAAGGAGACAAAACAATAAGAGTAATAAAAGCACTCACTGGATGGAGATTGATCAATTCTACTGCACCCTGGTAAAAAAAAACAGACATCGGTGAGCAGACAAAGGGGCTTTGATCTTCATATTTTAAGTGTCTTTTGTGTAATTCTCTGTTTTACCATGTCTCCCCCAATACACTCACACCGCCCACTCAGACAACACAGCTGGCATCCGAACCCAGCGGTCAGGCTTTAACCGCTATGAGCAGAATGTGTACTTCCTGCCTATCCTGGTGGTTGACAAAGGGCCTCCCTCCCTCAGCTCCACGGGCACCCTGACCATTCATGTTTGTGGCTGCGACACAGGTGAGTGCTACTGGAGGAGCTGCACCATTACTAACATTATCATCACTGTCACCTTGTGCATCTGCAGCAGCAGTACTAAAAGGTCATCCACATGCCATTGTTTTCATCAGCAAACAGGTCTTATCAGCTTATATTTATGGAGTAACAAATAAAACAAGGCCACAAATCTGCAGACAAATGGCCCCAAATCCCAGACAAACAGTGATTTAAGATGAGTGAAAATATAATATATGCATGCTAAAACCACAGCTTATTCTCTTGATAAAACACTGCCTAATCCTTGTCCACTGAACTGAGTCATAACTAGTGTTGAATCTGTACAGTAAATGCCTCTCTTTATTTTTGCAACACAGAGGGAGCCATCCAGTCCTGCAATGCCACAGCCTATGCAATGAGTGCTGCTCTCAGCCCTGGGGCACTTATAGCACTGCTGGTCTGCATGCTCATCCTTATAGGTAAGTAGATGTACAGTATGTATGTGGAGATGAATAGATGGCTAAATGGATGGATAGGCACAATTTATTGGTAATTCCTTTCTGGGGTCAGTGCTAAGATCAATTACTCCAGCAGGACCACCAGGTCACTTTCAATAGTGGGATGTACTAGTAAAAAGGAAAGCATGAGGGCTGCACCTAAAGACACCACTCCATGCCCTCTGCTCACAAAATCATACGACCAAGCATGTGTCTTTTAAGGGATAGACCACTTTTAGGTTATCTGTATTTCACGAATACAGTTGCACATGCAGTGGCAGAAAAACTTTGACGAATGACATAGAAAACAAAATCGCTTTTTCATCTTTCTTCCATGAGCAGCTATCCTGTTGAACATTTTGTTGCTGCTTTTATGTGGAAAAAGCTTTTGTTTAGACAGGAGCATAGATGATGCCTGGGTTTATGAATGATATCAAGCCACTTTGATCCTCAGAACACAGACGGAGATGGAATGAATGGGAGTGGTTAGAGAGAGAGCAAACAGCCAAAAGAGCTGCCTCAGCACTTGTATACATCTGGAGCAGCAAGCTTTAAATAGACAAGGCTTTCCAGACAGTCTTTGATTTTTATACACTCAGGTCACACATGCACACCCTAACATACACATGCACGCACACTCTCACCCTCTCAGAGACCGAAGAGGTTTAGTATTGTCATATCTGAAAATTTTATGAGTTACCCCCCGCCCCCCCTCCCCGCTTTACATCTTATCATCTAACTCCTCAGTGACAGAAAGAAACGACAACGCTGTCACAGTGTTTTGTCTCCCCCGCTCGCGCCTATACACGTTTTACATTGTGCAGGCAGTGAATGATGGATGATGTGACATCAGGCAGCTTTAACTGTGACTAACATTGCTATATATTTCTTTTAAGAGCTTCTCTAATGAGAGTTGTTAAAACTCTGCCTCCATTAACCAAACGTCCTACTGAAGTGAACTTCAAAAGCAGAGCATCATTTATTCATCATGGTTTTAAAAGCCTCAACAAAAATGTTGTGTACAAATCTGAGGCAACCTCTGCTGGCTATAAAAAAAAACTGTTTGCCTGCATATCGTTGTTTTGGTATTCTGGGCTAGATGACATCCCCTCAAAGACCTGAGTTGCAAACAGTTCTCTGGCCTTTAAATTTGTGGAAAGCTAGACACTGCAGAAAAATAGAGTTACATGGTACAAAGATTTTTTTTTTTTTTCATTGCAGCCTTGGCAACTTGGATGAAACATACATTACACAGAGTAGCATACATATGCTAAAGAAAGTGATGCTTTTGGTATTATGTCATGTTTTGTACTATTTTGATTTCACTAATGCAATGATGATTCCAATAGTGTCAGTGACTCTAATCGGCGCTAAATCCATGCCACTTTGAGTGACTCATACTGACTGGTAGAAAATGGACTGAACACGCCTCATCAAAGCACTGAAGGACAGGCTAAGTCTGGCTTCTGACAGTCATCATGTGGACAAAAAAACCTTAGGGCTGCAGGGTTTGGGATCAGGGGCATGAGCAGTGTTTTCACAACTATCATGTGGTGTGAATAACATACGGGAGCGAGGCATGTGGCAGCAATCTTATCGACTGCACATTACACTTTCCCTGTTCCTGTTTTACTTACCATGTGCACACATGCGCAGATTTAGTATGTGTCTGCTCCTGAATGCTAAGCACACATCCACATGCTTAGACAAATCACTCCTCACCTATTAACTGCAGTGCAATCCGTTCTCTCAATGCGCAATTACTGTGTGCACCATGTTTTCACACACACACACACACATACACACACGCTCTGTCTGCGCACACACCTAACCAGCCAGCCAGCTCTCCCTCTCTCCAGAGGCTGGACCACCTCTATTACATCAATTGTTGGTTGATGAGAAAAATGAAAACAAATTTCTGCCTAATTACCTTACAAACAAACAGTCCCTCCATCAGTTCATTTAAAGGCCTGATGTGATGAATCCATTCCACTGCGTCGCAGCATCTGCATGCATCCATTCCAATTACCTCCCATCTGCTTGTGATGAACTCCTGGGTGGGGGGGAAACCAACGCAGCCCAAGGGTAAATTAACCGTCTTGGCTGGAAAGCGTATCGCAACATCTGTACACATGGGGACCAGCTTTGTATGTATAGGAGGCGTCTATACACAGGTACATATGCTTCCTACAAAGTTAAATTCTGTACATGGCATTGTATTAACATTGCCTGGGTGTGCCAATCTCCAAGTTAAATAGGTTTTCAATAGCTTACGGTTCAAGCATATGTGTACCTAATAAGCAGCAACATTCACATGTGATAAGTGAGGAAGGGTTTTTCAGAAGTGAGGTTATCTGATCGTCTTTGCCACATACGGTCACATGCTCCTTCAATACTATTTACGGAAGAAGTAGCCGATCTGCACGTATAGGGTAGTTCACAGCATCAAGTTTTCTACCTCCTATTATTCTCCTCATTAGTGTGAATTTAGCGTAATTGTCTTGGCACTTGTTTAGTATGCATGGCGGTGTGCGCCTCAATTTACCACAAACCATGACTGCTTCCTCAACCCCGTGGCAATTAATTCGCCCCATTCAAGGAGGAGAAGAATAAACACAATGGTTACAGACACTGCTTTCCCAATGGAGCCCAGTAAACAATGCAAGAGGAGAACTAATGTACATTATCAGTCAGAGATACTGCATAAAATCCCCATTCAAGATCAGCAAGGCTCTTCAGGCTGGCACAGCTCTTTAGGCAAGGAACACACGGGGCGTTTTCACTCCGCAAGTTAGTTTTTAGGCCATTTACACCAAATGAAGACAATTACTGGGAGCAGCAACAAGTCATTTGTACAGATTATATGCTTGAAACAGATTTTGCACTTTGCTCAGGAGAAAGAAAAGACTACATGGTGAAACATGGTGTTTTATACACACATCCTGACTTCCAAGGTCATTTTGAAAGAGTGCATTTGTCCATGGTCTTTTTTCATGCATAATAATATACTTGCTTTAACATATGTGAATTTCCTGTACACATCACATAAAGGCTTGACACTGATCTAGTTTGACTGTGAAACGATGTGGGCATATCTCATTTTCACAATGTATGGATGGGTGTTCTGGTGGGTTCAGCCCATCAAACAATATGTGCCATCCCAGACAGCAAAAGTCTCATTATAATTTATAGTCTTTTTATCTCTGTGGGCTTGTAGGCATTTGTTTTAGGTAACAGGCTATCTGTTCCAGAAGATGCATGGCGCCTACTGGTTAATGATCTATCTAAATGTCCTTTCACTGGCATCCCTTTTAGAGTCGTTGCTCATTGTCCCTGCTAAGAGGAAGACAAAGAGTTTCTTTCCACTGTTACACAGTAACGTAGTCCATAGCTGACTGGCCACAGGAAACACATCCTGCTGCCAATCAAAACTCAATAACCGAGGACAAACATTTCCATCTCTACATCTGATTACCATCTACTTTTTTTTAATCACAGAAATCCTTTAATAATAAGCCTGATTTTTATCACCAATATTACCGTAATTATTTCTCAGCATGTACAACAATTATCAAATGGCCAGTTTAAAAAACACACGCCAACTAACTCTTTACTAATTCAAATGCTATTGTGATGTAGGAGAACAGAAATAAACATCTTCTGGAAAGACTCACATTTATTTTGATCAGTTATCCATCATAGATGAGGAAACAAATACTACTACTAGCTAATGTGAATTCACGCAGTGCAAAAGAATAAAAGGTATTCAAATTAATATTGAGCTCTTAAACTGTAGTTGTACAGGCTCACTTTCTGGTCCAGCTGTTTGTAACTTTTCCTTTGCCTGAAGGTAAAACCCCACCTTGTTGACCTTTTGATTTAATAAATACATTTCTGGATAATATTAATAAAATTATGACAATGACAATTTGAGAGTATTTACCCGGTACTTATACACCAATCCTCGTCCACATTCTTCTTTGTTTATTAATTGGATGATTTAAAATAGGCTTGATTGTTGTTAATCTATAAGACTATTAAAATGAGTTTTTAATTATCTTTCTCATATTTCTCAGTGTGCGTAATTCATTCATAACTGCCTGTAATATGTTTTTATCATCACTGAAAATGACATTTGATGTTGCTGCAAGTCTGAGACAAGTCTGGTGGAGAGTGCAGCCCCAAGGAGGGATGGTGGAGTCAGGGGGTGGGTGTCTGAGCTAAGTGAGACATGTCTAATCACAAATTTAGGCAGTAATTAAAATAACTAAGCTGAAATTAAAGCCTCATTGATTTATCTGCGCATACAGCCTTTGTTTTCCTCTTGTCTCACTACTCTATAACGTGATCCAATTGTTTCCCCTTTTTTTATCCAAACTTAACTTTCTGAGGTATTTCTTTCTCTTTGTAGGTGGTTGCCTCTGGTTTTATGTAGTCAAGGAACCACAAAGTCTTCGTTTCACTCGACTTGGATGAGTATTGATAAACAGACTGGTCTCCATTAGGCCTTTTGAATCATATTTCTGGGAAAGGCAATCAGGATTGCGAAAAAATCAATGCTCATGCATTTGAAATGTAAAACATGATAATATATTATCTTCCCCTGCTGTGCCTTTGCCCTGAGAGGTGAAAGCAAAGTTACAATGGGAGTAGTTAGAAACTTTGCCATTAAAAGTATGTGCAAATTCATCACACATGTGTGATGTGCAGCCCTATACAGTATGTACACATATAGTGCAATTACTTTATTTAGAACAGTTGTTTTTAGTATTGAATTATTTGAATCTGGGTGTGGTATGTCATTATTCTTAGCAAGGTGAAGAGGAATTCCATTTTTGCATGTATGTTCTTTAAACTAGTCCTGACAACTCTAAATCTGAGAGTTAAAACCATTGGTATCAAAACACTTGCTGTAATCCCTTAAATGGGAAACTATCTTTCTCCTGGCTTTTATCTCATGCTATTGTTCAAGTTGATCTGACAAATTCATATTTAACCTTTATGTTGTGTTGTGTCACAACTTGAGGTTGCGAAATGTGCCAACACTTAAGAATATCAAGGTTTTCTTTGTAAACTTGCACAATTAACCTATATGCATTTGACCAATAGCGTGTAATTACAATGATGGTCTTTCTCCCTCTCTTTGTCTTGTTCTTTCTCCTTCACCATCAGTGCTTGTCTTGCTGATCCTGACCCTGAAACGCCACAGGAAGGGCCAGAGGATGGCGGAGGATGAGGAGGATATGAGGGACAACGTCATAAAGTACAATGACGAGGGTGGAGGAGAGCAGGACACTCAGGCATACGACATGAGTGCCCTGCGGAACCTCTATGACTTCCCTGAAGCCAAGAGCTGTGACTCTGGCTCGGACATCCGCTCACTGCCGCAGTGGATACAGGCTAGCCGGGTGAGTGCTGGTGCAGAGGGAGCTGCAGCAGCGGCAGCTGACTTCTCCCTATTCAAAGGCTACATCCGAAAGAAGGTGGAACAGGCAGATGCTGACCTGTCAGTACCACCGTACGACTCCTTCCAGACTTACGCCTTTGAGGGCACCAGTTCACCAGCGCTTTCACTCAGCTCCATCCACACTCTGTCCACCACGTCGGAGCAGGATTTTTCCTACCTCAGCGACTGGGGACCACGTTTCAGGCAACTCGCAGGTTACTATGCTCCAGGAAACCCTGAAGAGGAAGGGTCCTAGCACAGCTTCTCCTCTGCAGAGAGACTTTTAAACTCCCTCCTCCTGTTTCTTTTTCTCTGCCTCCTCTACTCACCCTCTGGCACTCTACTGAGATCATCAGAGCCAGCACTGTGTACTCCTTAAAGACAGAGCGCCACTTCTTTATTTCTTTGAAAGAAAAATCACAGAGAGTCGAACTTTGACTTCTGACACTGTTTTTTGTGAGTTTTCGGACTTAAGCATGAAAGCTCTGGCGATGACATGAGAAAGAGTAAAGAAAGAGCTATCCAGTCCCCAGAACTGATATTTAGTCTGAAGGACTACGAGAGAGCTATGAGTTCAGAGTATCAACATTACGTAGGTAGGGGTTTAATCATGCCAAGGCAAACTGTCTAACAAACATGTATTTATTTGAGGAGGAAATATTTATGTATTTATTTGTTTTTATGTAGTTATTTATTTATTTATTTACATCATGATCACTATGGTAACTGCAGTGAACTCTGCTGAAGTGCTAAAGTAAAAGTAAAGGGAGGAGGACATTATGAAAAGAATGAGAGATAACATGCATGGAAGACAGAAGGAAAGAAGGACTGCAGTGGCCAGAAAATACTGGTGCGGAGGTGAAATCTGGGTCATATAAAAATTACGTTCTAGAAAATATTTGTATTTATTTTCTATGACCACTTTTGTAAAATAACCAACTTAAGACAGATAGATGAAAAGCAGAGGCAAATAGAAAGAGTGCAGGCATTGCAGAAGAAAAGAGCTGCCAGTTCAATCTGAATGGTTGAGACTGACATACATTTGCTGTATTTTAGTGATTTATAAAGTGTTTTTTGGAGGTCACAAAATGAGGACAATTGCGTGTTAACAATTTCTTTTCATACCCTCTCCACAGCCAATTGTAAGGCAATAAGGCACAAACCGCAACAGTGATTTAAGAAAAATTACTGTTTCATGGAATTGGCTGGTGGCCAGCTTTGTCCTCCAGGGAGCCAATTTTCATTCCAGATTTGTGTGTGAATGTGTACTATATGTTCAATTCATTTTATATCCTGAAACATTTGATTTTGCTTTGGGGGAGGGAGGGGCAATTAGTGACAACAGGATGGTTGTGTCTAACTGAGAGGGAGAGGGTTAATGGACTGGTCACATCCACCTGATATCCACAACCTTTTCAATGTTGACCTTAACTTGCAAATGTATGGAAAATTTTAAAAAACATGAAAACAAATAAATATTTAATTTTTTTGGTAAAATCCTACATTTCGCTGTGTGTAATAAACTACATTATACTCGGTGAATTACTCCATAAGTGAGATCACAGTGATAAAGTAAATAGAGCATCTGTATTACTAATTTTTGTTTGCCACTTGCTGAATATGTCTCCTGAATTATGAATAATTGTGGAGCTAGCTTGTGTTTACACCAGGGGTAGATTCAGAGAATGGTCTTAGATGGAAACAAACAGACCATATGACAGGCCACAGCCAAACAAAGACTCTCCTCTCAGCGTGGCTCCCTCCTGGCTGCCTTCTGCCATACTACTGTAATTGTCGTAGTCACCAGAGGATGCTGAGGCAGATGAAGTTGCTTTCATCTTTATGATCTGCTGCTAAAATGGCCAGTCAGACAGTGGCTGGGAATCACTTTCAATTGCTTTCACAACTGGGTTTTAAAGAATATGTCAGCTTTTTTCCCCAGTCATTAGTAGGTCTACTGTATCCACTGATTTCTGAGAGCTGTCATTGTACTGTGTTTCAAACATAAATTATCCATCACTGCTAAACAAAAAGAAGCTTTCTAGACTTTAACTGTTCTGTTATGGATGAAGTGGCTGCAACTTGGAAAAATACAAAGTAGTGCAGCTGTCACAGACTTTTTGTCTGTACAACCAAAGGAGTGATGCCACAATAAAGAAATGCAGGTTTTGCTAATTTTACAAGAGTGTCGCAATCATAGTGTGATAACAAATTTGCAATTTAGGGTTTTACTTATAATATGCTTATAAAAATCTGAATGACCAACTTAAAAGTGTAATTCACCAAGGACATGGATAAATGGGCGTCCTGATGATGTGTAAAGTAATTAAGTTACAGTAGGTTAAAGTTCAAACTTAAATTGATTTGACAATTTGAATGACATTTTACATTGCTGCCGTTATCAATATGCAGCATACTCTATTATACTGTATTGACCTATACTCCTGCGGTGTATGTATTTATTTGGGTATCTTTGCCAAGGAGTGATTTGGCCATCCATTATTAATACTAGCCTTTAGCCCAACAGCATTTGCTAACTGACAAGCAAATGCCATGGTCTGGATGGATTTACACAGATATAGGTCAGCATGAGCTTCACAGTCACAATCATACAGGGAGCGGTGAATATACGTGTGCCTTTAAAGAAACTCTGTACAAGACGATGTCATCCTGACGGCTACAGGTCATGTGACTGATGCTGTGAAAGCTGAGTAAGCACATGTTCAGGGGAAGAAAGCACCTCTGGTCACTTCAGTCCTATTTTCCCTGCAAACAAGCCTTTGATTCATCTTTCATGATTGTCATAGAAAATGTCACTCCTTAGTGATGGCCTGCACATGTGAACATATGAATGTGTTGCCATAAATCAGACCCCCCCAACCCCAAGGGCAACATGAGGCATGTCATTAGTAATGCAGATAGATGATTGGTGATTGACAGTTCTCCAAGGGTGCAGCTATGTGCACATTAACTATCCTCTTCTTTCTGTACTTGGCAGGGTAATGACAATTGATTAAGCACTGGGGGGAAATATGAATGTGTACTGCAGAAAATATCAATCATATATAGCGTAATGGCTGAATAGCATTAGCTATTTAGTTTTCAGAGACACTCAAAACAAAAGCTTTGTTTTGAGTGTTGAGCTGCAGCTTTCACCTTCACTAGGGTAACAACAAATCCATTTAGCTAAAATACAATGCATAAGCAAACCTGACTTTACCACAACAAATGCACAACAGCACTCTGACAAGCTGAATTAATAAAGTAAGCTGACTATTATAGTGAGATGGCAATTGACACTACAAAAACTGCACTTAGGTTGAGGATTGCGTGAGCGTGTGTTATATTCACAAAATGACACTTTTCCCATTCCCATAGAAGAACTTCATTCAAAGCATGGATAATGATGAAGTCTGTATTTGTTGTTGTTGTTTTTGTGACAGTACGTTACTGTGAAGATCATTCAATTTATTTTATACAAAATTAAATAGAAAAAACAATAGTTGCATTTATTTGTATTGTACTTCAAACACTCAGGACTTGAAGTGCTTGAAAATCAAACAATACAGCCTTGTGATATAAAACAACATAAAACATAAATGAGAGAGTAAGGTAAGATAAGAGTAGAAAAAAAAGGAGAAACGCATCAAATAACAACATCCATCCATTTTCTAAAGCACTTTGCTAGTTTAGGGTTGCAGTGGGGTAGGAGACTTTCCCAGCATGCATTTGTCGAGAGGCAGGCTATTCTCTGGACAGGTCGCCGGTCAATCACGGGACTAACACATATAAACAGGCCCAAGGGCAGAGTTTCCAAGAGTTACCTCCTCACCAAACCTGCATGGCGTACCTGGAAGAAGTCCACGCAGGAACGTGGATAATGTGCAAACTCCACAGAGAAAAAAGCCAGCGGGAAAAACCAGGGGCTTTTCGCTTTGAGGCAATAGCTCCATCAAATAAAAACACATCTACCCAAATACATTTTAAGCCCTTAAGATGATATTGATTCTGTTATTGCCCAAGCTCCTCATGCAGGTTGTTCTAAATCATAAAGGCCCTAATGGAAAAGGCCCAGTTACCCCTTCTTTTAATTCTAAATGTTGGATCAGCTAGAGGGTCCCTGCTGGAGGATCAGAGGATGTGCACAGCCTCATAGAGAGAGAAAAGGTGTGTAGTATAGCCAGGGGCCAGACCAACCAATGACCTAACCAGGCTTTGAAGGTGATCAGTAAAATTTACGTGACAATTTTGCTCTGTGTAGGCTGGTGACACGGAGGATGCTTTTGATTTATATTCCAATAAAGAGAGTTACTATAAACTATACATTTTATTATATTACAAGGGTTGCAAGTACTGCTTATCCCACTGAGACAACAGCTTTATGCAAGTTTCATCTGATTGTTGGTTTTCCTCTTTTGGTCTGTTGGTCTGTGTGGATGAGACCTTCCGGCTACCACAACTCCCCCACATAAAACTGTACTCTTCACTCACTTTCAGTCTACTGAAAATTCCAGAAATTACTTAAAAAATGGCAGAGAGCCAAAGTAAGCAATGGCCACATGAAATAAGATGCACATAGCAAGTCAGGGAGATATTTTCCTCAGGTGTGGACACCAGCAGGAAATGTCCGTATTTGCCTGTTTCGTCTAGATGTGTAAGTACTTTACGTGTGAGACCGCTGTTACTGATAAGATGATCGGATTTATAGTGGTTTACTGCTCTGTTACGGATTATTTTATCCTCCATGCAGATGAACATCTTCAAAGTTGAATTCTGAATGTCAACTCTTTCACATATTGATGAATGTATGTTTTTTTGTCTGAGCAAGTGATAAAGTGCAATAATTTGTGTGCCGAAAAAACATCACCAACAACAGCCACGTTATGTCGTAGATTAGAACACCATATTGATTAATCATATTAGGAATGTCCAAACTTGTCCCGATCAAGAGAGTTTCTTGCCACTTTCAAAAGACTCCTCACTGTTTTATCTAGCACTGACAGCAAGCCTGTTGTAGATGAACTAGGGCTGACCCCAAATAGTCTAAGGTTTGATGCTTCTATGGGCGGAGCCTGATTCGAACACCTCACAGTCTTCGTTGCAAAACTGGATTATGCCCTTTTGGCAATAAGTTAATATACTGCCTATTACAATATAAATTTCAACATATAATGCTGTAAATAAAAATGTGAAAAAGCTTTTAATAAATGTTTTTAAATTGTGTGAATAAATCGTTTGTAATCCTAACTCTTAAAGAATGGGGGTGTGCATGTTTAGGTGTAGCATCTATGTGTATGTGTGTAGTCGCAGAAGAGGAACACTTGCTGAAGAGACGTGTTGTGCCAATTTGTCAGCACCTTGCGGGACATTCGAATTATTTATCACCATTGATGAACCACACAAAGAATATCGTTTTTAAGTAGCACACACACACACACACACACACAAACCAGAGATGCTCACAAGTCTTTGAGCTAGAGTCCAAAGCTGTTTCTCATTCTGCATTCTTGTGGACTTGTGAAACGTCATAAGTCGCAGCCAAAGTACTGTTCCAATTCAATAGATAGCATCTAGCCAAGTACAGTCAAATACCCGGATGTGTTCTCGCGCCGCCCGTTTTACCGAGCCTGCATCAGTGGTGACTTGTGTGGACTTCGGATAGCCAGATATCCCAGAATGCCCCTTCCTGGTCTCCAAGAAGACTGGAGGCTTCAGACCCATCCTGGATCTCCGCTACCTGAACCAGCGTATTGCACGGAAACCGTTCCGCATGCTGACACTCAGGAAACAGCTAGAGCTAGTGCAGCCCAGCGATTGGTTGACGACCATAGACCTGAAAGACACCTACTTTCATGTCGAGGTGGCCCGGAAACACAGGAAGTGTTTGTGTTTTGCCTTCCAGGGGGTGGCGTACGAATACACCAGACTCCCTTTTGGCTACTCACTGGCCCCACGCAGATTCAGCAAGTGCGTAGACACCGCACTGCTACCATTGCACGATCAGGGCATGAGAGTCTTTTTCTACTTAGACGACCTCATTGTCATGGCCAGGTCAAAACAATGGGCAGTTTTCCACACAGCTCAGTTGATTTTGCATCTGAACAACCTGGGCTTTGCAATCAACTGGGAGAAGAGCTCCTCCTATCGCCGCCAGGAGGTGGAGTATTTGGGGGTTGTGCTCAACTCAGCCAGCCTGAGAGCTCATTTGTCGGAACTCAGACAGACGACCCTTCTTCAAGCGGTCTGCAAGCTCCAGCTGAGAACTGTTGTGATTGCGCTGGCAGTAATGCAGCTGCTGGGGCTCATGGCAGCAGCCCATCCAGTAGTTACCCTGGGCCTGCTACACATGCGGCGGCTACAACGCTGGTTTACCAGCCTGCATCTAAACCTCAAGAGGCACAAGCGATGCATGGTGACGCCCCCCCAGTCAGTACCTGCAGTTCTGGGGGTCCCCTCATCGCCTGATATCCTCATACGTGTCGGTGTTCACAGATGCGTCTCTGACCGGATGGGGAGGGACCTGCCTGGGGAGAGCAGTGGGTGGTGTGTGGCCTCCTGGGGAGATCAACCAACTGGAGCTCCAGGCGGTGTTTCTGGTCCTCCAGCACCACAAAGCCCTAGTCCAGGGCAGGCACGTGCTGGTGAGGACAGACAACCGCACGACAGTCGCCTACATCAACAGACAGGGCGGAGTCCGATCCGCAGCTCTGTTGACGTTAGCAGAGGACCTATGGACGTGGGCTGCAGCACACTTGCTGTCTCTGAAGGCCCTTCATGTCCCAGGCTCGGAGAACAGGGCTCACTCCACACGGGGTGTGGCTGTGTCAACGGCCCTCTTCAACGGGGTGAGCGTCGAGGAGATTTGCACAACAGCATCGTGGTCTTCTATGAGTTATGTAGGGACTGAACCCTTCTATAGAATTTGACCTCTAGCCACTTGTTTTGTTACCTCAGAATAGTACTGTACCCTTCTATGGGTTTGACCTTTTACTCAAACCCCTCTATGGTACCTAACAGATACCTAAACATATCCTATATAAGCTATGTTTGAAGTACAGAGAGACAGAGTGGCCATCAGGCTGGGTCACTCTCCAAGCTGCTGCAGAGCTTGTAATTGATGCTGAACTCTTTGATTTAATAAACTTTTATGATCAAGAACAGTGTCAAGCGGGTTTCTTATCAACACATCATCGCAGCATTATTGTTCGGATACCACACAGAAAATCACTCTCCACTGAACTAAAAAAATTGGAGACG